AGTATTTCTTCACAATATCATTTCTCAACATGGCATCTGTAAGACAGTAGTGTCAGATTGAGGATCAGCTTTCACAAGCATGTTTTGAACTCAGATGTGTGAGAAATTAAACATTAAGAGATAACTCTTCACAGTCTATCACTCAGAGACTGATGAAGCTACAGAGTGAATGAATCAGACTCTGAAAATCTATCTATACAAGTACATTAGCTTTCAACAGAATGACTGGCATGAATGACTCTCTCTAGCAGAGCTGATCATCAATAATAGAGATGCTGTCTCAACAGATGTGAGTTCATTCTTTTTAACACATCTTTTCCACATCTCCTCTATTGATATAGCTGATGCACCTCCTGTTGAAACATCACATAATCTCATTGAGTTTGCAGATGATTACATGAAGAAGGTCTGTGAAGTGTTGAAGTGAGCTCAAGTAAAAATGACAAATGCTCAGCAATCTCAAAAGAAATACATGAATAGATAAAGAGACTCAGCTTCAAGCTTTCAACCTGGAGATAAGATCTGATTGAGCTTAGAGAATATGAGAACTAATCACCTGTGCAAGAAGTTGAATGTGAAATACAATCAATATACTGTGCTAGAAAAGATAGAATTTCATACTTATTAACTGAATATTTCACCTGGCATTCACAATGTCTTTAATGTAAAGCTTCTACATGCTGTGGTAACAGATTCTCTGTCTAGTCAGAGGCAAACTGACTGACAGTCACTCACTATAGAGATCTCAGAAGGACCTGAGTTTGAGATTGAGGAAATTCAGAGCAAACAAATCTACCAGAGGAAAAAGCAATATCTCATTAAATAAGTAGATTGGGCTGAGCCTACATGGAATGATGTGAGTCTTCTACAAGAAGTGAAGACCTTGAACACTTGAGAGACTTCTCAGCAGGCAAAATTAGATGTAAATAGGACTTTAAATAGTTGTAAAGACTTGCAACAAAGAGGGAGAAGAAGAGTATTATAAAGGGTTGAACCTCTAGATTCACTCTGACTGGCTAACTCAGCCTAGTCATTGTTTGCATGTGCGCATATGATCATGCTATGTGAGCTTGCTTAAGTTTGTATTCTCATCTTATTCTTTTCTTCCCTTTCTCAAGCAATTTGTCCTTGTTATATAGAAGGACTAGTCTTTAGTTCTTAGAGCTTAACCCTCTACAATAAGCTCATAAAAGAATTCAGAAAGCAAATCATAAAAAAGAAAAGAAAGCTGCTCAACAAGTTCAAAAGCAACTTCAACATGATCTCTGAAAAGCATATAAAGCTGAAAAAACTCAGTGAAAATGAATTAAATGATAAGCAGTTTAAACAACAACTCACAAAGTCTGTAAGAAAGAGAAGACTAGAAAGACAGAGCAGCATGAAGCTTAGCAACTTGCTAGAGAGGCTAAAAAGACTCAGCTTGAAGCTGAGAAGCAAGAACAAACTTATACTCATACTGCAAAGTGAAAATCAATCAGTTCAACTACAGTTACTTCAAAATGATGACAGAAGCAAACACCTATAATGAATTCTAATTCTTTAAACTTCATCTGATCTTTCAGTCTAGGAAATGAGATCAATCTCAATCCCCTGGAGCAGCTTACTGCTGCTTCTACTACTAATTTAGAAAATTGACACTTCTTTGATCAATCTTTTTACTTTATATCAAATCTCCCACCATAACTACATTCTTCAGTCAAGCACATATCTATTTTATTAAACCACCTATTTTGTATGAAACTAGAGAATACTCTCATTACTATTTAATAATCTAATTAATATTTATTTTGTTGTTGTGGAATTAATTAGATTCTAGCAAGTTGAGGCAATTTTGCTAAGAATGGCAGTGATATGGCTCATTTAGTGGTAAGTCACGTTACAAGTTACTGTAGTTATCTTCAATCTCCCGCAATGAACTGATGATTTAGAGAGTAGTCTTTCCGTTGAAAATATATGGGTTGTAGAGGAAATGAAAATCTTTGTATAATCAGAAGATCAATAGGACAGTCGCTAGATGATTTATATCCATAGTTGGTTGTTAGATCCTGAGGTTAACTACGGAAGCACAGCGATGAGGGTTGGCTTTGGTCCGGGATTAAAACTAGTTGCATGATATTTAATCCACATTGTGTGCATTGACAACTTATGAAAAGACACTTTCACCAGAAAATAGCTTGTGTCTATCTTGATTCAACTGATTCAACTACAATCACATCTACAGTCATCAGGTGTTTGCTTGTGCCCCACCTGGGTTACTTACTATAATCAAAATACTTATTTTCTTTTATATTTTTACCGACCTATAACTCAACATCTGAAAGAAATCCGATATCTAATTTGTCCTTTCCCTTAGAAAGGGATGGACAACGGTGGCATGGAATTCGATGTCTTACCGTGTCCATTCTGTGCTTTCTCAGACTCAAATTCCTATTTCTTAACTCAACATGTGGAGCTTTGCCATCCGGAAAACGAACTTTCTCCTTTCATTGCGACTGAGGAACCATCCTCCACTGTCTCATCAAATCTGAACTATATCGCGGAGAAACCCGGTGATTCCCCTATGCTAGCTACCGGATCTCCCCCCATCAATGATGAGGATTGTTTCCTCGATGGCTACGTTGACTGCCCGCAAGGTTGTGGGGAGATTATCTCCACTGCTGAGCTCTCAAGCCACTTAGACCTCCATCTTGCAGAGGGCATGGCGTTTGAAGAAGCCATTGTTGTTCCCAAAGCCGAGCCTCCCCCGGAGGTAGTGGAGGAAGGGGAGGAAGCGGAGGACAACAATGTTACGGCAAATCATGTATACGATGATATCGAGAGTTACTTCTCCACAAAACTGCCCGAGGCTCTTCGCAACAGAGATGACGTTTTCCAGCCGAAGCACTCACGCAAAAATTCTCGCAGAGATTCAAAGGCAGATTCGGGATCTTCGCATAGGAGGACGCACAAATCAAGACGAAAGCATCGTCGCAGTAGTGGAAGCTTCCCGCATCGATTTGGGGTAACATTTCTCTCTGCTGTCGCGCAACGAATGAAAAATGTTATCTTGCTGACTGTCTCTCCTTTAGGGATTGGAATTAGGACCGTACGCTCATGAAAAGCAAATGCCATCATGGCTTCGCAGAATGCTGGAAGAAGGTGCAAAAGTTACCATTTCCAATAGAATTCAACCAAATGGCACACTGCGAAAAGTCGAATCTGTGGCAAACGAGACTTCGTATCTTATCCCCGTAGTTTCCCAGCTCTGCCAATTAGATGAAACCGTTGAACGGGCCTTTCTCTGCAACCCCGCCGTCCGGCATGTATTCAAGATGCCGACAGAAGGGGGTTTCTGTGGATATAGAAATATCCAAATGCTTATTTCTTATATCCAGGATAGCCGAGCAGATGGCCACGAACAATTTCCTGGTAAACTTCCCACGATACTGCGGCTACAAGATTTGATTGAGCAGGCCTGGGATCTAGGATTCAACAGTTCAGCGAGAATAGAAACTGGAGGCATTAAAGGGACGAGAAAATATATTGGCACTTCTGAGGTAAATACGCCTATATCCAAAGTAATTGAGTAGCGGATTTCTTTATGTATGAACTGTACTAAAGCATAAATAGGCCCAAGCCCTTTTCCTCAGCTTAGGTATCGTGTATGTATCCTGAATCCCCTGATGTCATACTATATAGAGAAACCAATCTAATCCCCCTGGCCAGATGCACGGCTGGCGCTTTCAGTCCTTCTAAAGACACTTCTGCCCACGATGCACTACTTGGTGATACAATGGAATATTTCCGCCAGGGAACCTCCGGAAGCACCGAAAAGGTAATTCAGACTGAACTGCCTCCTATCTATTTCCAGCACGAAGGTATGTAGAAAAGCATCACCACCTATTTGTGATTAGACTTGACTATCCATATTCATCTGAAATCAGGTCACTCTCTGACAATCGTCGGATTCGAAACCCACAAAAATGGAAGCATGAACCTCCTAGTCTTTGATCCGATGTTCAAAACATCACCCGCGATCGAACGATTAATTGGTACTCGAGTCAAATCCCAGGATCCAGGTCATCTTTTAAAGGCGTACCGTCGGGGCTTCGGATACTTGCAGAAGTACAAGGAGTTTGAAATCCTCAAGTATGTTGATTCAGCTGCGAAACCATTCTGTTCCAAGCTCTGTGCGGAATTTCTAACTAAGATAGATTGTCCCCGTCAACGCGAAGGGAAAATCGCCCAGTCAGTGCTGCTTCATCCAGATGTTAGACTGGGCCATGAATATGTGTTCGACTCGCTGGCTGCACCTATGAATCTCATTTAAATCGCAACTCAAATATTTTTCTCATGACTCACGATTTTGTTATCGTTCTTTCTGAAATGTCATCCCAGCACCAGATGCTCATCGCCTGTCGACTGCTATCTTATCATGAGGGGGTTCCTCTTTTTGTCTCCATTGCAATTTCTGTTGTTCGCACCGTCGAGGAACGATAAGTTTGGCGTTGTGCTTTGAGGTGATGGGTTTTTCTCGGAATTTGAAGACGGAGATCCCCTAGCCGGTGCTCATACTGCTTTTAGACATATAATATGACAGTAGTCTCCATAATTGATAATCCAGAGGATATGAAATCTTCTGTCTCCAATGTTTTATTTTATATTGTCTAATCTGAGGCTTGGTTCATGCTCTCCTTCAAGCGACGCCGTGTCAACACCGTAATATATCCTTGGTAAGATAAAACACGTGATCACGTTCTCACCGTATCAATAAATTGTGGGATGGTTGGTTTTCCATTGGTGGGAGGACTAGCCAGCTAACTGATATACGCGCACATCACGTGAGGTAGTGCGGCTACCGGGCGGTCATGCCCAACATAAATTACGCAGATATATATTATTCAACTTGTTCAAATGTTCCCTTCTTCTTCCCCACTCTGCTTCTTACTCTTCCTCCTTGACTAACTACATATACTTTCGGTTAGAAATTATAGCCTCCTGCGCAACCGCAGCAAGAAGAGATGAGAGCCCTCCCCAATCTTATCATCACTGGCACACCAGGCGTAGGCAAAACAGTACATTGCGAGCAACTAGCCCAGAGCACCGGCTTGCGACACTTCTCCATCAATCAAGTCGTGAAAGATCGCGAGTGCCATGAGGGATATGATGATGAGTTGAAGTGCTATATTGTGGATGAGGATAAGGCACGTAGTAACTGTTTTCTCCTTTTCTGCTTTTTTACTCCATGATACTGGGTTATGGCGAGTTTGGCCTTTGCTGATGAGTGCTGTGTGTATAGCTACTTGATACGATTGAAGATGATGTGCTCAAGGGAGGGTGCCTAATTGACTGGCATGCCTGTGACATATTTCCCAAGTCCTGGATTGATCTTGTTGTGGTGATTCGGTGCCCTTCTACATCTACATTGTATGATCGGCTAGCTGCCAGGTAATTGAAACAACCCCTTGCCCTGTGAGCTTTTTTACCCCGTGGGGATGTGGGCACCGGGAAGGTCATGAAATCGTTCATAACGGATTAAAATGCTGATCAAATCGCCTGTCATTTATTTCTATAGAGGCTATCCAGAACGTAAATTGCAGGAAAACATCGATGCGGAAATTTTCGAAGTCCTCCTTGATGAAGCGAGGGAGTCATACGACGAGGAAATCGTTGTGGAATTGACAAGCCAGGAAGATGTGGATATCGAAAGCAATTGCGCCCGCATCGAGGCTTGGATAGAAGCCTGGAAGAAGTCACAAGCTGAAACTTCAGATTGAGCCGTCCACTACACGCCATTTACCGTTCCCACGCATCCCTAGAACTTTTTTCCATAGCAGCCGTGGGATAATTGTCAAGGTTCTGTTGCTACGAGCCATTGCTTCAGTTTCGCAAGCGCTTTGGATCGGTGGGAAATCAAATTCTATGGGGATTGACAGCATCTCAGCGGCAATGGTCTTGTAAACTTCTCGACTACCCTCTGGAAGGGAGTCTACAGTGCCGTGGTTGACGAGTGTGCGGTGGGAGAGCTTTACATACTTTTTCGTGCTTGTCCATCTCCGCAAACGTCTTTCCCTGATACTCAAACACGGGATCCCAGCCTATGCCGCCCACACCAAAACGTCAGATCTGACATCATCCTGTTCCGTTTTTACGTCCTGGACAAGAAGGGAGGGGAATTATAGGGAATTATACCAAAATTCCTCGGACCTCTTGCGGGAACAAGTCGACCCTATTATGAGGGAAAGCCAAGCGTTAGAAATAAGATTGCCATCCTGAACACTGACGCCGGCCGTGTTCGAAGTGGCGTGAGTGGGCAACAAGGTAACTAATGCATTACCTCTATCCTCCCTTGAAAGAGCATAGGTTCCTTTCCCGGCCCGCTAGAGAAGGCAAATGTGCACACAGCCACGATAGATTTGTCCTGGTATGGATCCAGCAGTTTGTTAAGCCCGTCGTGGCCCAGAGCTTCTAGAAACCATTTGCTAGACTTGGATGTTAATTTCAATCTTTTCGGCCGTTCATACTTTCGGCTCAACCATTCGTAGCAGATAGAGTAATATATATCGAGTAACAATGGATATGACCCCGTGGACACTAATGATTCTGAGGATGCCGGAAACAAATAGTAAAACTTACATATATGGTCCTGGTAACCCATTTAATGCATTAAACTCCAGAGCTGTGTCCTCAGTCAATACTGGCCCTCGTATCTGTTCATTCACAAATTAGCCAGATCATCTTCCACAATCCCAATCCAAAACATAATATCTACTTAAAGCCAATATGTAGTAGAGCTACATTCTTCTATACATTTTAATTTGATTCTAGATATATATTTACCGGGATCAGAAAAAGGGAAAGCTGAGATATTCTTGAACCTACGATTTTGGCCGCCCGTCGACATTTCTCCTTTGCAATGTCTTCGATCGATCCCTGAATCTCAGGTACATCGATAGTCCGATTCTGCACCTCGATGTCATCCCCCAAAATCTCCTGAACTTCAGCTAACTTATTTTTATTGCTTGTGATGAAGTTTAGGGTTTTCATGGTGGGCTGTCAACAGGCAAGTCGATAGCCGGGTACTCCAGGCTCAGAGCTGCTCTCCTGCTTTTAAATTGCTTTTCAATTCTCCAGTCAAAGATAAAGAGACTGGAGGGAAAAGAACAAAGGGTATGGTGTATTATTGATAAGGATTCTTAAATATAGAGGAGGAAATAACATGGATTGTGGATTTATTTTTCAAACCTACCACTCTCTCATATCAGAAAATAGCGCCAAGATTCCGATGTATACGGATGACAGTCATCCTTTCAATGTAAATGAGGATTACGGAGTCTTAGACGGGGATTTGAAACACTCTTACCAGGACTAAATTCCATTTCAACTAATGATACATACATATCCATCGAACTTTTGACAGTGACAGAAAACCCCCACCAGACAAAATATGGAGGATAACTATTTGATGAGAATGAGAAAATAGCGGACCGGAGTCTCGTCGATTATATTTTTGTTGCGCTCCCGAGATTCCCCCCGCCGAAAGAAACCACCTGAAAAGCTAGTCTTACAATGCATCAAAGAATTTTAGCAGAAAAAGAAGCCGATAGAAATTAATATGAAGGGAACCAGTGCAAAAAACAAATCTTATAAAGAAGCTGCTGTAGGTTGGTAGGTAACAGGGAAGGCCAACATCAATACATCAAATAAGAGACAAAAAGGGAAAAAAGGAGACAAGCTCACAAAATTAAAGAAATTGGGATATAGACAAGTTCTTAAACGAAAAAGAAGATATAAAAAAACGGCGATACAGGCGGTTCCAGTTTGGCAAGGAGGTGGGTGTTAACAGGGGGCAGCAAAGCCAACCAATCTAGGCAGTTTTACGGACGCTCCCCACAAGAGTCTATAGGAGACATAGGGGGCCAACTGAGAGGGGAAGATGAATAGAAAAGTGGCAATAGTAGAGAAACTCCTTTAGTTTTAAAAGAAAAAGCTAATGGCGGGCACAGCATGGTAAAGTGAGAGCTTTATGCAGACACATCGATAGCCTCAGACTGTTCCCCCATCTCAAACTTCTCTTGCTGTGCCATGGCTTGCGTGGACACGATCTCCGCGAGTCGTTTCAAACGAGGTGTTTGCAACCCTACCATACGGTTAGTCAAGGTCTATATTACTGGTACATGTCTTCTGGAGTTATATTTGTCACTCACATGATGGCGTGTAGGTTTCTAGAGCTGTGATTTGACGTGGCTCAGCAATTTCGTAAGGACCGCTATCATCCATGTCAACTGCTGTTAGGAGCAGGACATCGCTCTTTTCTGTAACGCGAGAGGCAACCGCTTTCATGATTTCGCCATTAATGGGCTGTTCGTAATCAGCAACCAGATACTGGTTGAGGAGTTTCTGTATTTGGTTTGGGGAGAGCCTAAATGGAATTAAATTAGAAGTTGAGGTCTGATGAACTTTGGTGGAGGATGATTGCTCACATCCAGCAGATATCCTGGATAATCTCGATATCGTTGAGAGTAGCTTTCTTAAGTTGAAGTAGTTTCGTAGCTTGCTAAAGAGATATCAGTAAATGAGCAGCATTTGCTAGAGATGCGACAATGTTAACTTACCATGAGGTGCTCAAGTTGCAGAGTACCTTCCGGCATATCATGGCTCTTACACCATTCCTCAATCCTAGTGATATTGTAATTGATTTGCAGGCCACGCTTCCATGACAGGAAATTTCTTCTCATCAGCAGATCGTTGAATGCAGTGACACCGACAAGACGAAGAAGCTCATTGACGGTTTGCAGAATGATAGTGTCCTCGAGATAATACCCTTTCATCGCCTTATAGACGCTGTTGAGAAGGCTCAAGAGATTGTCCATGCTGTAAGCCGGGGGGTTAGATGGGAGGAGTTTTCCAAGGAAGCGGTTAGTTTCGTTAGTCACAAACCCTGGAAGTGATTGAGACTCGATGATAGCTGGGACAACCATCTTGAAAAGCTTTTGTTTCAAGACTTTCATCCAAGTGTGATAGATGTTAAATTCCAAGCTTTCTAGATCATGTTTCACGATTTCCAAAAGACGATCGTACTCGTAGTTGTCCGTTTTCTGCGCCTCGTACCAATCCTCGGCCAGGAAGACGAACGATAGCATCTCGTGCACGTTGGAAAGCCAGAACGCACCAGGGTTAATTGCATCTTCACCTTCATGTTGCATAACATCTTGTTGAATGGATTGCATCACGTTAGCAAGGAACCTTTCGGATTCCTTCACAAAGCCGTTATTCCACATCTCGGATGTCACAAGGTTAATTAGGTATGATGGGAAAAGGACCTCTTTCTCTGTTGGTGGTGGCGTAGAACCTGGAAGAGGAATTTTCAAGTTCCGGATTAGACCAATCGTAACTTCGTCGTTGAGTGCATCTTCTTCAGACAACAGCCTCTCCAATTCCATTTCGATAGAATCAACTCCTGGAGAAAATTTGGAGCCGGACAGATTGGAGCGCGCACGGCTTCCACTTGGCACGGCCATCGATACCGGTCGTGGATTATAGGCACCACTTAAGCGATCGGTGTCGATCCTTTCAGCCCCAGCACTGCGTCTCTTCGGTTTAGGTTTCTTAGACGAAACCAGGTTGATCAGCCCACTAACAAGAGGCTGAGAGCCAGTTCCGTTTTGAAGGTCGCCATTAACTCCATTGACAGGGACGGATCTCTTAGCAAGCTCTAATTCATCCTGGAGTTCAGATATTTGCTGGCGGAGGGAGTCCTTATCGAGTTCGTGGTCCTCATTGGCTTGTCTCAATTTCTCGAGCTCGGAAATCGCCGATTTGAGAGATTCACGCGCCGCCTTTTCTTCTTCCTGGAGTCGCTTCACGGTTGCCAATGCCTCCGAATGATTTTGTTGCAATTTAGCCATTTCCTCTTCCAATGCAGTCAACTGTGCAGCTGAAATACCCGCTTGGTTCGCCTCGGCTTGCAATTCGCGGGTTCGAGCTTCCAGTGCGTTGTGTCGGCTCCTCCAGGACTTGACTTGACTCTCATAGTTCTCGAGCTGTGTTGTAAGAACTTTGTTCTCGCGCTTGAGTGTTCCCAGGGATTGAGTGAGTTCCACAACTTTGTTTTCCAATTTATAGGAAATCTGTTTAAGATCCCTTGCTTCCTCACGTAGCTTCTTGTATTGACTCCGCGCCTTTCTACCTCTGTAAAGATTCTGAATAATGATAATTTTCTTGCGGTATTGCCTCCATGCACGAATCGAACGCCAGGACCGGAATGCACGTTGGATAGTTTTGGCTGCATTGCCAAGGATGGTATCCATAATATTACGTCGACAAAGGTAACCTTTGGCGATAGACTCGAAAAGAATAACATTTTTCCGTATACTGACATATTTCTTCCGCTCCTGTTGGCCACGCCACACTCTTTGAATAGTTGTAGAAGCTTTGATGCGACGAATTTCCTCTGCATGTTGCCGGGCCAAAAACCCCCTGATGACGCTTTGTGTGGTAAGGATAGACTCCCGAGCCCCGAGGTATTTGCGACGATAGTACTTGCACTTGAGGTTTTTCTGGATCATGGTCGCACACTCGTTCAATCGTGATGTGCGGAGATTCTCAAGAAATGCAAGCATTCCAGCTCGGAAAAAGATTTTCGTCAACCCAAGCTGATACTTATCCTGCTTCTGATGGCTGACGTCACCAAGGGCTTTTCGTAAAATGGCGTGGGCCATATCGCGTATCTCCGATGTCCACTGTGATGAATGGCAGAGCATATAGTACCGCAGAG